AACTTTGATTAGGATAGGCCTTGGCTAGAGGTTTCTTGATCAATGGCTCTATTAGTTTCAGATGTGGAAGGGGCTTAGCGAAATCTCGCGGGTCCAACAGTGGTGTCTTAGGCCAAGCCTTTTTTGGTAAGAAGACTATTGCTATAGACCATTAGCGAGACTCTTTCGGATCACTCCTCAACTCCCCGACATTGATTTTTATTGGGAATTTCATCACCATTTGATAAGTCGATATCATAACCCTCAACCTATTGAGTATGGGTCAACCTATAATCACATTATATGCTGATGGGATGTTAACCACTATAAACTTGGTCATCACCATTATGGTCCCAAGAGGGGAGATAGAGTCACTCGTAAATAAATCATAGGAGTGAAATTATTAGTCGATAATCTAAGTTTTTGAAAAGTATCAAAGAAGAGGATGTCAGTGAGACTACCTGTGTCAATTATGACCATCTTTACTCATGCATTAATCATTTTTACGGAGATCACTATAGCTCATTATGATTTAAGTCAAGGTATTTCATCTCTTCGTCCTTAAAGGTTATTTTTTAGTTGTCTTTTGATCTTGGGCACTTCTCAATAGTTTCTTGGGCATAAATTTTTTGACCCAATGTATTATCCCCTCCTAAGGCAGGTCTCTTGATGATAATGATAATTTGTCTCTCCACTAAGCCCTAAGGTCAAGGTGAAAGTTTCAATGTCTCCAAATGAATCTCCTGATGTGCCCTTGATAAATGAGTCCCTCGATTTGCTCCTTCAAATCACGATAGTCTTTCGTGTCATAACCATAGTCATGGTGGAAGTGATAATACTTAGATCTATCCTTCCTTTCTAATGGTGCCTTTATTGGTCAATGATCCTTCAAAAACCTTCATTTCCAATGGTTCTCATCATGTTAAGGGGGGTCAACTCGGGTCTCAAGTGAGGTAGCTCGAGTCGATTTTGTTTTCATCGTTGAGGTGACCTCGAGATTGGAACCAATTGTGGTCACTCCTACCAGTCTTTTGTGCGTCTTCTCGCATTTATTTGAGATCATCACTTCGGCGACTATGAATTTGTTGGCTTTTTAAAATACCTTGGGTATGGTCGTCGGTGGCCTCTCCACCAATGTTAAAAAAAAGGTGAGGATCTAAGCCTCATCATGAAGGCTTGAATCATGAGTGATGGATGAGCTTCTTGCACACCTCGAATCTTGTTGGTGAATAAAGCGATAAAGTTAGAACGTGTCTCTTCCTCCACTTACTTGAGTCCAAGCAACATTTCCACTAATGACATTGGGCATATATTCTCGAGGAAGTAAAATTCAAACTCCTTTATGAGCTGATTGAAGGAGGCGATCGAGAGTGGCTTTCAGATGAATGTATCATTCTCATGCTAGGCCTCTCAATATCATTGGGAACACATGGCACATCATAGTGTCCAAGGTGTCGTGGAGAGACATTTGGGTGTGAAAGGTAATAGTTCATTTAATTAGGTCGGTACTATCATCAAAGATTTTCAACGATAAGAGGCAGACGTTGGTTGGGATTGATTTCTCTTAGATGTTTTGGGTGAATAGGGATTGACTCGAGATGGGATCGACTAGATTCTCCCCCTTATATTATTGAAATTTTCGTCATATCTCGTCTAGGCATCGGTTCATTTGCCCCAATTGGACCCTCAGAGAGTCATCCATTGAGTTCATCGATTGGGTTTTGGATTCAAGCGAAGTATAATAGTGGTGCAGCAATGTGTTAAACTCCACTATTGGGGAGTAGGGTGCTTCTTTGGTCAATAATTCCACTGACCTTAAGAGATCTTGAGATGCTAGCATTGCATCGATCAAGGAGATTCCAATAGGTGTCGGTACTAGTGGTGGTTGAGGTGTCGACCATGGTTGAGATGGTAGCACTACTTATTATGCTAGTTGAGGCAATAGGACAATGGCTTGTAACATGCTTGTGAGCATCTGCACATAATGAGTGATGTTTAAAAACACCTCGACGGGATGAGCAGATTGTTTAAGTTTGTCCTTGGAGGTAAGGGTAGTGCTTCACCAGCATCTTTGCCAAGGTGGACACATCCACACGTGGAAAGGATGACAATTGCCCTCTTCGAGTAAAAATATTATGAGTTAGAGGCAAAGCCTCCTCACTAGAGTGTTCGTTGAGAGGATTGGAGGGTGAATATTTCTACAACATTAAGCTCTTCTTTTAGTGCTAGAATATTAAGAAAAGAATATTGTTGATGTCATGGTCAACCCAACATGGTCTAGACTTATATGCGTATGATTGTTCAAAATATCTTCAAGGTAAAAATTTCATACTCTCAAGATGTCAACTGTACGAAGACCGAGGTCAAGAGAGGTTTCCCAATCCAATCCCTCTAACACTGAAGTTAGTAATCCGAAATCCCCAACCATGAGTTTAAATGGTTTGAAAAAGAGAGAATCCTTCTTCTATTAATAATATACTTTTATACCTGAAAAGATAGAGAAAAAACTTGCGATTGCTTTCCTTATCACGAAAGAAGATAAAAAAAAATTATAATTACCTTTCTTATTATAATAAATAAGATGGAAGCTTGTGTTTACCTACTTTAAATTTTAACCACATACAGATGAATGAAAAATGACTTGAATTGAATTTGTTGATAGATTCCATATCAAATTGAATCATAGATGTCTCTTGCACTACCCTAGCTGTAACATGGAAGGTGATGTGGATGTGTCATCTTCCCGTGGTGATATTAGGAAAATGTAGCATGTGGATCAGTGTGTGTTGTGTCGAAAATTAGTCTCACATTTAGTTAGCTTCACACATCTAACACCTTGCATGTCTTTAATACATATTCTCTAATAGTTCGACGGTTTAGACAACTCTTCATATTCAAGTAACTGACGATGATGATTTGATAGAACTACCCAAGATAACTCTTGATACCTCATTCATTAACCATTACTGATCTAATCCATCATGGCCTTTCTGCTAGTTCTCCATGCGATTCTAGGTCTTCCAAGGGAGGCTTGTTGTAGAGCATAGCATGATGGCTGCTGCAGAGAAGACCAGTGTTGGCTTAAGCTGGAAGAATCCTGTTGATCTCATCCCCTAGTCTACAGGCTACAACACTTTTAGCAGTTGGGAAGCTGGCTAACATGTCGATGAAAATTTCTTCCAGATCAACGCAACAGTCAAACCCGAAACAAATGTATTGAAGTGATGGAAGAAAACTCCATGCCAGTAGCCAGTTCTTAGGAATCATGCTGTCAGTGTTCAGTCTAAAAGCAGAAAAAGCAGTTCAAAGCTTTATGACTTGAGATGGCCTCCTTTGCCTCTGTTCAGTCAAGACCAAGTAAAAGCAAAAGCTTTCTACTGATTGCTTTCGGCGGAAGACGAAAATAACACCGGTAAAGCTTCTTTTTGGTGGGATCACATGAGCTTTGGCACCACTTCTATGAGCAAAGTGGTGGAAGTAGCATCAATCTATCCATGCTCACTGCTCTTTCTGACATGGTGCCTTTCCAAGCTTGCAGAAATGGACTGAATCCTCTTTGTCTTGTGGGTGAGGGGGAAGACTGCTTGTCATGCTCGCTGCAACAAATAGAGAGCAGCGTTGTCGGCAGACAGGCAGATTAAAGAGGGCTCAGGAGATCACAAGATAGTTGTTCATGTGTCATGCATTTGTCTGCTTCTGCTCTTCAATAACCCCGTTCCTATTGTACCTACATATTTCGTTCTCTGAAGTAGCCATTAGACCTAACTTGCGGGCCCTCCTTTGGATGTCACAAGAGCAGTAACTCTCCGCCAAATGATGCAGCATTGAGCCACTTCACAGGTGAATGAAGCTCTCAATAGGTAGGCAGGACATGGAGATTCCGGGAGGAGGATCATCTTACTTCTTTAGCAGACATGAAGCTTGTCTTCGTCCAGGCAAAGCAGACCTATAAAGAGAGAGAAATGTTCGTTAGCTGCATAATTAATGCCATGCTGTGCATGGGTGTGAAGCTAATGAATTGGACATTTAATGCGTCGCAATCGTCGTTGAAAAGATTTGTCATCAAACTGGAACTCTGAATTCAGCAGTGTGTCACTGAAAGCAAGCTTCCATGACGATGATTGCTGTTGCTAACTCAGGATAAGAACTAACAGATCGTGTCATGTCCTCCGTCAATCACGGGCTTCACATCTCGTGAATTGGGGGTTTTGTCTTCCTCTGCTGTCCTCTGCTGGGACATGGATTTGTGGTGTCCGCATACGAACAGATAGCATGTTTCCATTGGCAGATTAAAGAAAGGAGCACGATTAGCGATGGCAGAAGGGAGGAGAAAGCGCTCATGGGATCATTCCACGAAGGTATTCGACAAAAGTTCCGAGTATTATAGATATACGAATTATCTCTTTGCCCGAACTTTCGGCTTTGTCTTTATAGCAGGAAGCTAGCGATGGAAGCGTCGATGAGCACTGCGCTCGTCCGTGCTTGTCTTCATCGTTAACTCATGCAGTAGAGAGCATTGAGATTGCTAGAGAGACTCGTGTCAAAGTTTCGGAACGCAGAGCAGCAACTCACGTCAGCCGATTTAGAGGATGGATTCAGGTTAAGTTGACCATAGACGCCTCGATTAGATCTGATCCCAATCTAACAGCTTCGCCAGCGTTGTTCACATTATTTAGGTTGACTAATGGGCTAAATTTTGACTAGCAATCATCATTTTTCCGAGCATTAGCTGTCGCCGGTGCTAACGAATTATAAGGGTCGCTGTCTCTTCGTCCCCAAGATATAACAGAACAGGAACCGTCTAAACTACCGTCAGAAAAAACTTCCGTTACATCGGAAGGTGACGCATTTCTTCCGTCATTATGACGTCAAGGAAACGAATATATGAGCAAAATTAGATGGGGCCACATCGTATAGTGTGCGGAGAGCAACGATAGAACACGTAGGAAGGCAACGAGAACACGGTGGTCACACGGCTCCTCAAAATCCAATCTTTTTGGTACTGAAACGTCTAAATAAAAAGACCATCTTGGTTTCGTTTTGCGCCACTGGCTCCTCCTTATAATCGCCCTCCTCCCTCATTCACTCCTCGACTCGTAGCACTAGAGATTGAGAGAGAGAGAGAGAGAGAGAGAGAGAGAGAGAGAGAGAGAGAGAG